CAGCACTGCATGGTTGTTGGTTGACTTTACAATGGCCATGCAGCAACACTCGGTAGAAGCTCATTGTGAGTAAGGAATACAAGAAGTATTTGCTTTTGCAGTCTTTTGATAGCCAGAGCTTATTCATTTTTGGGCAGCCAAGTTGTATCGTGACATGCATGAGGTTTGCCAATGTCTTTTTAACCCAATTTCTTTGATAGAATTGAAAAGTGGGACATCATGCAATCACTTCATGAAACTTCTGTCATTTGTAGCACAGTAAAGAGTGATATTTGATGAGTAATGGCACTATTAATAGCTCTTGGCATGAATTGTTAACTATATGTGAATGCATAATATTTTTTACTAATTTATTGGTTATAATGGTAATAGCAATTGGGGTGGTGTGTCATGAATTCATGATCACTGATAATAATATTTCACAATGAATGTGATTTTAACTACATTCTTAACAATAGGACCTGCTCCTCCTACTGGTACAAACAAGCCATCGATAGGTATGTTAGTGTTTCAATATTATATTAGATACATGTACATGCAAATCTATGTATGATTTTTGCAACTGTAGTTAGTATAGTAACTATATGTAATTGATTTTAGGTATACTGTAGAAAATTGGTTAAAAGAAGGTAGTGTTGAGCTAGCTGTTACTCGTGTTAACTTGCATGGACCTCCTGGAGCTGGTAAAACCTGTGCACAAGATCTTCTGCTTGGTAACCCACCTACCACCCGCACCACTGACAGTACACCAATCGCTCGTCCAGCTGTCAAAGCTACAAGAGTATCCGTTGACAATGAAGCTATGAAATGGGAGAAAGTTGATAGAGATGGTTTACTTCAAAGACTGGCTTCTGATTTTAAAAAAGCCACTGCTTCTCAGCCTGATGATATTTCTGACAATGCTGGTACAGAATTTACTGCCAAAACACCTGTTTCAAATGAAAGTTTCTCAACTGGTGACAGTGTGATTGAGGAAATTATGGACACAATCCAACACTCAGAAGTTCAATTAAATTTAAGTGATCATTGGTTGTATATTATTGATTCTGGAGGTCAGCCAGCATATCAGGAGCTGTTACCATTGTTTGTTAGAACAGCTTCTCTCAATATCATTACTCTTGACCTCTCTAAACCTCTGAATAAAAAGCTTGATTTCCAATACAGGATTGGAGGAGAGACATTTTCTTGTGGTTTGAACTTAAAGTATTCAAATCAAGATTTCTTTTTATCGGCCATTTCTTCTGGAGCCATTTTAAAACCAATTGATGTCCCTCATGTCCTTGAAATGCCTTCACATCCAATGAATTTTGTACTTGGTACACATTATGATCTCATAAATGATGATGAGCTTAAGGAGATGAATAAAGAGTTGATGTCTTCATTGAAGCCTGACGTAGAGAACTATGTTGTTCCCAATGTACGTGGAGAATCTATTATATTTCCTGTAAATACACTGGTCCCTGAAGATAAAGGAAGAATGAAAGCAGGACAGGATTTATGTCAATCAATAGCAAATTGTGGTGGAACTTCTCTTAAAATAAATGTACCAATTCGTTGGTTTGCGTTTGAGCTTTGTCTGCAAAAAGTAGCAGAAGACAAAAGCCACAGTTTTCTTACAATAGATGAAGTCATATCTGCTGGTGCCAGGTTTAAAATGAGTGAGAATGATACTAAGGATGCCTTACAGTATCTCCACAATGTCACTATTATCCTGTATTTTCCTGATATCTTGCCACAATTAGTTTTTGTTGATCCTAAGGCTATTCTTGAGATTCTATCACGTCTGCTAGCTCTCACTTACATTGAGAGGAAAGCACTGCACCTAATTGCCAAACCTGTACCTTCAGAGAAAGATATCAGCAAACTTCATAATGTTGGTTTTTTTAAAGAGAAGCTTTTGAAGGATCATTTCAAATCTCTTTTTTCCCCACCTCATTTTGAGCCGTCTCATCTACTTAAGCTCCTCATTCATCTTCATATCATTGCCAGTGGAGAAGATGGAGATTATTTCATTCCTTGTGTTTTGGAGTCATACACTGAACCACCTGAACTTCAAACGGAAACCAAGCCTCTTCTTATAGTCTGGCAGGATAAAAATACTGTTCCAGTTCCACAAGGAATGTTTCCTTTACTCATTATTAACCTCCTCAGTCACAAAGATGACTATTGTACAGTAGACTTTCCTCAATCAAACATTCCTCCATTGGATCCACAGTACTACAAGTATCGCGATGCATTGTCTTTGTGGATCAAAATTAAAATAAGAGTTTGGAAACGTTACACACTTCACATAATCAATCACTACACTCATATTGAGGTTTATTTTGTTGGATCAGTTCAGAAAGCAAAAAACATATTATTTTTAAAAGTTAACTTTTATTTTATGAAACATTTTCCACTTATTGTATCAAATAGTTACATGTTTCAATGACTATAACTTCATAAATTAATACTTTTAAACATTATGCTAAATTTTGGTTAATGTAAGCTGTAATTTGCATGGTTACAATACTATATGTTATTGTTGTAGTTTTAAATATTCTTCTTTTAGTTTGATGATAGTGCTTTTTTTTAGGTGGCCTTTCTTTGTCAGTTCAAATGCAAAGAGTATTATTGAGGATTTTGGTATTGTGTCTGTCCAATCAATGATTCTTCTTCTATTATTGGGATCCCGAATCTTCCATGGCTTCCATGAAGACGAATAGTTACCTTCATACCATAATACATCCAATTCTTCATTTCTTATACTAAGACATTGTGCTATGACAGGCTCTTTTTCCGAATCCATGCAATATACTGCCAGCATGTGACCCCGGTCAGTGTATATTCCCGCCGTTTAAATTTCCAAATGTTTGAGATTTAGATATTATGGTAAATACTCAATAATCTAATGTCTAAACAATTGACATTTTGCAAGTTATGAGTAAAATAATAATTTCATAAATCCTAATAAATTTAATTTTTGTAAGTAAAATGGTGATGCCAATAACTATATGTACAAAACATTTTGTAATTTTACAATTGGTGTTTTAGGAGTAAAATTCAGTTGCATAAATATTTAGAACATTGGATTTGTAATTTTAGTTCTGAATTTGCAAATTTCCAAAGTTACATATTGTCTCATTCAAGAAAGTCAAGCATAAAATAATATTTTCAAAAATCCTAAAAATTGAATGTTTGCAATTAGAATGATAATGCCAATATGCCATAGTGCATTATATTGTGTAATTTTACAGTTAGTATTTGATGTTCAAATTTCAATAATATGAAGATTTTAAACTTTGGATTTTTAATTTTAGCTACAAAGTTCCAAAGTTCCAAATTTCATAATTGCTTCGTCCAAAACAGACATGCTTAAAATAATACTTTCAAAAATCCTAATAAATTAAATTATTGTAATTAAAATGATGATGCCAATAAACAAAGTTCAAAATATTTGCAGTTTACAGTAA